ATCACCACTGCTATTCAACATAGTACTAGAAGTCCTAGCCTCAGCAATCAGACAACAAAGGGAAATTAAAGGCATCCAAATCGGCAAAGAAGAAGTCAAACTATCACTCTTTGCAGATGATATGATACTTTATGTGGAAAACCCAAAAGACTCCACTCCAAAACTGCTAGAACTTGTACAGGAATTCAGTAAAGTGTCAGGATATAAAATCAATGCACAGAATTCAGTTGCATTTCTCTACACCAACAACAAGACAGAAGAAAGAGAAATTAAGGAGTCAATCCCATTTACAATTGCACCCAAAACTATAAGATACCTAGGAATAAACCTAACCAAAGAGACTAAGAATCTATACACAGAAAACTATAAAGTACTCATGAAAGAAATTGAGGAAGACACAAAGAAATGCAAAAATGTTCCATGCTCCTGGATTGGAAGAATAAATATTGTGAAAATGTCTATGCTACCTAAAGCAATCTACACATTTAATGCAATTCCTATCAAAGTACCATCCATGTTTTTTTCAAAGAAATGGAACAAATAATCCTAAAATTTATATGGAACCAGAAAAGACCACGAATAGCCAAAGGAATATTGAAAAAGAAAGCCAAAGTTGGTGGCATCACAATTCCGGACTTCAAGCTCTACTAGAAAGCTGTCATCATCAAGACAGCATGGTACTGGCACAAAAACAGACACATAGATCAATGGAACAGAATAGAGAGCCCAGAAATAGACCCTCAACTCTATGGTCAACTAATCTTCAACAAAGCAGGAAAGAATGTCCAATGGAAAAAAGACAGCCTCTTCAATAAATGGTGTTGGGAAAATTGAACAGCCACATGCAGAAAAATGAAATTGGATCATTTCCTTACACCACACACGAAAATAGACTCAACATGGATGAAGGACCTCAATGTGAGAATGGAATCCCTCAAAATCCTTGAGGAGAACACAGGCAGCAACCTCTTTGACCTCAGTTGCAGCAACATCTTCCTAGGAACATCGCCAAAGGCAAGGGAAGCAAGGGCAAAAATGAACTATTAGGATTTCATCAAGATCAAAAGCTTTTGCACAGCAAAGGAAACAGTTAACAAAACCAAAAGACAACTGACAGAATGAGAGAAGATATTTGCAAATGACATATCAGATAAAGGGCTAGTGTCCAAAACCTATAAAGAACTTAGCAAACTTAACACCCAAAGAACAAAGAATCCAATCAAGAAATGGGCAGAAGACATGAACAGACATTTCTGCAAAGAAGACATCCAGATGGCCAACAGACACTGAAAAAGTGCTCCATATCACTTGGCATCATGGAAATACAAATCAAAACCACAATGAGATATCACCTCACACCAGTCAGAATGGCTAAAATTAGCAAGTCAGGAAATGACAGATGCGGCGAGGATGCGGAGAAAGGGGAACCCTCCTACACTGTTGGTGGGAATGCAAGCTGGTGCAACCACTCTGGAAAACAGCATGGAGGTTCCTCAAAATGTTGAAAATAGAACTACCCTATGACCCAGTAAATGCACTGATGGTTATTTACCCTAAAGATGCAAACGCAGTGATCCGAAGGGGCATGTGCACCCGAATGTTTATAGCAGCAATGTCTACAATAGCCAAACTATGGAAAGAACCTAGATGTCCATCAACAGACGAATGGATAAAGAAGATGTGGTATATATACACAATGGAATACTATGCAGCCATCAAAAGAAATGAAATCTTGCCATTTGCGACGACGTGGATGGAACTAGAGGGTATCATGCTTAGTGAAATAAGTCATTCGGAGAAAGACAACTATCACATGATCTCCCTGATATGAGGGAGAGGAGATGCAACATGGGGGTTTAAGGGTAGGAGAAGAGTAAATGAAACAAGATGGGATTGGGAGGGAGACAAACCATAAGTGACTCTTAATCTCACAAAACAAACTGAGGGTTGGTGGGGGGAGGGGGGTTGGGAGAGGGGGGTGGCCTTATGGACATTGGGGAGGGTATGTGCTATGGTGAGTGCTGTGAAGTGTGTAAACCTGGCGATTCACAGACCTGTACCACTGGGGATAAAAATATATGTTTTAAAAAAATAAAATTTAATAACAAAAATAAAGATTTATTTATTTATTTTACAGAGAGAGAAAGTGGGGAAGAGGGAAATTGGCAGAGGGAGAGGGAGAGACAGTTAAGCAGACTCTGCACTGAGTGCTGAGTTGATGAGGGGCTTGATCCCATCACCCTGAGCTCTTGCCCTGAGCCGAAACCAAGAGCCGGCCACTTAACCAATGGCACCACCTAGGCACCACCAGGTACTGTTTTAACAGGATCATTGCTGCTGTTGTTTTTTTGCTGCTGTGCCTTTTAATCAGATAAACTCCTTTATATTTCCAGAAGAAATGTGCTATGAATATGTTAGACAAAACTCTCCTTTTGGATTGTCAACAGCATTTTTCTTTGCAGTTTTACACACAGAGTTATTTATAAATGTAGGACTAACACTAGTTGATTCCTTGTCTAGATAATAAAATTAAATAAAAGCATTATCTTGATTTAAAAATTAACTTAGTACCTTTAATTAATGCAGAAAATGTCAAGTGTCAAAACTTGATGAAATACAAAGTGGGCTAACTGCAATTTAGAGTATGCTTTTTTCCTTGTCAATGGGTAAAATCAGGGACTTCTGTTGTCTCTGGTCAATATTATCTTGAGTTCCCCATATCCTTTCAAGAGGTAGAACAATGAATTTCCCAAAATGTCATGCCACTTTGGTATAAGTATGTAGTGAAGATTATAGTGGGTTGGCAGGAGGGAGAAATTAGACAATTTATCCCATCTTAAGAACATTTGAGAGGGTTTTCTTTTACATTTGGGGCTTAAGAACTGATTATCTTTTCAATCAACACATCCCATTATGTTGATCAGCTCTTAAATTGTAAAAAAAATTATTTTTGTAAGTGCTACAATTGTGTAGAAAATCCCAAAGGATCAACAACAAGGACAACACCTCCTGGAACTAATAAGTAATTACAAAAAGGTTTCAAGATACAAGGTTAATACACAAAAGCCAAGTGCTTTCCTATATATCTGCAATGAACAAGTGGAATTTGAAATTGAAAACACAACACTATAATAGCACCCTGGTTTAGATTTAAGAAAATGTAAACAGGATCTATATGAGGATCTATATGAGGAAAAATATAAACCAAAGAAAGGAATCAAAGAGCGATCTAAATAAATGGAAAACTATCTCACTAGAAGAAGACTTAGTATTGTTAAGATGTCAGCTTAGATGTGAATTCAGAGACCTGATTGATCAAGATATACAGGTAGCAATAAAGTATATGAAAAGATACTCAACAGGTGCCTGGGTGGCTCAACTGTTTAAGCGACAGCATTTGGCTCAGGTAATGATCCTGGAGTCTTGGAATCAAGACCTGCATTGGGCTCCCAGCTCCACAGAGAGTCTGCTTTTCCCTCTGACCTTCTCCCCTCTCATGCTTTCTCTTACTCTCTCTCTCTCTGAAATGGATAAATAAAATCTTTAAAAAATAATGATTAAAAAATAATAAAAAAAGAAAATATACTCAGCATCCTATGATACTAGGGGATTGTTGATGAAAACAATGATATGCCATAACACACATTTTTGAATGGCTAAAATTCAAAACACAGACAACACCAAATACTGGTGAGGACGTGAGGCATCAGGAGCTCTCTTCCATTGCTGATGAAAATGCAAAATGGTACTGTCATTTTGGAGGACACTTTGACAGTTTAATGTAAAATTACACATATTCTTACCATGTGATCCAGTAGTCACTCTCCTAGATATTTATGCAAATGAGTTGAAAATATATGTCCATACAGAACCCTACACATGAATGCTTATAGTTTTATTCATAATTGCCAAAAGTAGGAAGCAACCAAGACATGTCCTTCAATCAGTGAATGGAAAAACAAACTAGTATATCCAGTCAATGGAATTTTATTCAACAATTAAAGAAGTGAACTATTAAGCCATAAAAAGTCATGGAGGAACCTTAAATATACATTGCCAAGAGAAAGAATCCAGTCTAAAAAAAGCTATATAATGCATGATTTCAAGCATATGACATTCTAGAAAAGCAAAATGATAGAGACCATAAACAGATTGGTGGTTGCCATGCATTCAAAAGGGAGGGAAAGGAAAGGGTAAGTAAGCAGAGCACAAAGGATTTTTAAGGACAGTGAAACTATTTGGTATGATACTGTAATGGTGGATGCATGACACTACAGTTGTTAAAACCCATAGAACAGTACAACACAAAAGGTGAACCCTAATGATAGCTATGGACCTCAATTAATAATAATGTATCAAGATTGGTTCATCTGTTTAACAAATGTACCACACAAATGCAAGATGTTGATAATAGGGGAAATTGTAAGAAGGAAGAGTGTTATGGTAATTCTCTACTTTCTGCTTAACATTTCTGCAAACTTAAAACTAAAATATAAATTATAAGGAAAGGTAATATAAATTATAATTATAAATTATAAGGTAAGGAAAAAGCCCACCATAAACTAAAAAATTAATTCACAGCAAATTACATATAAATGTGTGTGTAAAAATACCTATATAATACCCATGCATGTACACACATTCAGATAAAATAACTATCCATCTCTTTTTCATGATTGTGTTTTAATGTTGTACTCTTGTTATTTTCCCTGTTCTATTAAAGTGCTTCTATGGAGACTGTCATCATGAAGTGAGGAAATGCAGATAGTTATGCTAAATTATGCTGACAAGAAATGTGATGGTGAAGTGAACTGAGCTGAAATGCATAGCTGAAGGCCTATTAAATAATTATTTTAAAAGGATATAATGATGCCAACTATAAAACTAGGTAGTGTCCCATTAAATTTTTCTCTTTAGTTATTTCACTTTCTTTCAAGAAATACAGATGGATACTTGAATATGAAACTGTTACCATGTGAGGAAAACAAACAAGCACATACCAAGTCGTTGATGCTGATCATTAGGACGTGCTGATACTCTCTGCCCTCTTTACCTTCAATGTCACAATCGGACGATGCTACTGGCAACAGAACAAGGATCAGGGGAGGAATTCCAAAGATATACCTAAAAGAAACTAAATTGAACAGTGAGTAAGAATAAGCTAAATGTTGTACATCAGATTATATACTGATTGTGTTGTTTCGATTGGCCTGACCATTTATTTCTAGTAATTTTTTGAAATGCATCGTGGCTTTTGGATAGTGTGGGAAGAACCCTAAAATTCAGTGTTCTGTAACAACCAAAGTAGGACTGCATTTGAGAGTTTAGATTTCTTTCACTTTTTTATTTAAAAATTACTCTTTGGAAAAGCACTGAACAGGTGTGATGAAAGCAGACTCTCTGTCCCTGAAAAACACTCTAAGGTATAAATCAGTTTATTCAATTTTGATTTATATTGAACATTTCTACAAGAAAAAGCATATCCAAGTAAACAGGTAAACTACAGGTAAACAAGTTACACATTTTTAAAATTTTATGATTTGTGGCATGTATATTTATGTAAACCTTGATGATTGTCCAAGTATCCAGCCTCTTCCTGAAAGCAACGCTGCATGTTTATTTCCATGGTACTGTGATTATATTCTTTCTTTTTAATGATGGACCTTAAAGGGTCTACCCTTCCCAGAACTGTGACAAAGCTGACATTTACATTTTGATGCTCTATCTTTTCAGTATATTCTTTGTTTCTAGGTGCCCAGAGACCCATATTTTCTACAAACACAGCTCTGTCTAGCTTCTTGACAAATTAGAAAAACCCATTAAATAAATTCACACCCTGGTAACTAATGATTTATATCTGTTTTTGATGAGCCTTCCTACTTAGAGGCAATTGTCTAATCAAAAGGAATGAAATTATAAATGGTATCATTTCGGGCAGTAATAATGCACTGACAGAAAGCCAACTATTCCCAGAGACTTTAAAATGTGGTTATATAGAGATGTATTTCTTCATAAGTCTGCCAAAATGTCTTGTTTGTATCTTTCTGCAAACTCTTGAGTTATGTTGACAATATTTCCTCTTAATTTCCCAAATGAAGTTTAGCTGTACTTCATGAATGCAAGACAGTTCACATGTGTGTCTTTTCTGATTAGGACTACAAACAATACTCCTTGGAACCCAAAGAACTAATATTGTGACATATATTAAATGCATCATAAAGTTCCCAATAACATTATCATCTATTGCATCATTATCTGTCATATAAAAATCAGTAGCACTCCCCAATAAATGATGAGCTATTTGTGACCCATATTTTTATAAATAGAGAAAGTAGGCTACATAGCAGGTATGAGAACAAACACAAATCCTACATCGTATCTTCATATATCACAGACACTTGACAAGGTAAGAGAAACAAAATGAGACATGGAATCGATTCATAGCTCTGCCACTAAAAGTCTACACATGTGCCAGCAAAATTCACTGAGGAGATTAATAATGATCATGATGATGATAGTTACAGATAGTTACAGATAGTTTACCTATCTGTAAAGATCAGAAGAGTCGTACAATTTAATCTTTTTGTAAAAACCAGACAGTAGGTGCCAAGTCTGAATTCTAACCCGAGTTTACTGTCTCACCAAGATTTTATCAGAAATGGCCATAGTTTTTTGATAACATGTAATTACATTAGTCCTCTGACTAAAACCACTTCTTTGAAATACTACAGAGCTCTACCTCTGTAGTATTATAGTAGTACCTCTAAAGAGGTAAAGTACTACCTCTAAAGAGGTACTATTGCTCCTTTGTCCTGAAGATTCTCAGACAATAGTCAATTGCTATTTATTTACTAGATGCTGACTTTGTAATTGGATCTGTACAGACTGCATAGATCCAAACTTCATTTTTCTGTCTTCTTACAGGTGTCCCAAAAGGTATACTTTGGAAAGAGTAGATGATAAGTTATATAGCACGTAACTTGAAATGAGTTTTAAGGGGAATATAATAAAATAATTAAATACTAGAGTGAAAAAAGAGACCTTTTTATTATTCTACATAAATGTTATTTTAAAGGTCCATCTTTAATGTTTTGACAAAGGAGTTTGTTTTACTTTCTATGAGCACTAGCTGTTGTGTCCTCTTCACCCCAACTTTCAGCAATTAGTGCTCCCCAAGTTCACACTGATCCATTGTTTCATTGAATGACATTTACCAGTGCTTTCAGTGATGGCTTGGTTAGAAAACTTAGCCTTTTTTATGTATTACAACTAGTTTCCTCAATCCTGAAGCATAATTTGCCTTGAGGTGCCAGGGTGGCTCAGTTGGTTAAGCATCTGACTCTTGATTTCTGCTCAGGTCATGATCTCAAGCTCGAGAGATTGAGTCCTGCATCAGGCTGTGAGCATGGAGCCTGCTTAAGGTTCTCTCTCTCTCTCTCCCTCTGCCCCGCCCCCTCCTGCACATGCATTCTCTAAATACATATATACATACATACATACATAAGATCTTCTTGAAAGAAACCTAATTTGCGTTGTCTATAAAGTCAAAGTCATTTTTGTCATTGTTTTTAAATAGGTTAGCTTCAGATGGACGAGGCCAAAACAAAACACAGAGGGTTGGAGTATGGAGACTTGGGGTTTTCATCTTGGTATGCCAAGAAGTTGTACTACAATGGGTTGTGTGACTAAGTGAATGACAGTGTCTTTTAAGTTTCATTTAACTGATCTGTAAAATGAAAACTTCAGACTAAATGATCCAAGGTCCCTTTCAACTTCCAAGCACCTTAAGTCTAAGAATCTCCCTGGCCATCCCAATAGAGTATTTCTTTAGACTTGAAATCGCCTCAGGGAAAATCCTGCAAACACACCCAGAGCTTCAGATCCACATCTCGCTGGGTCTGAGATGTGGGTCTGAAGTTTCCACCTCTCAAATGAACAACTGCACTTTGGTCTGCAATTGAATGAAGTCTTTTCTCCACACCACCCAAAGAATAAACATATTCATATTGCCTAGTTCGAGCATGCTTTTGACATTGTTGTCACGATAGGAAAAAACTCTCCATTTATTCTGTTTTGTTTCAGACTATGCATAGACATTCACCCCTTTCTGAACTTTTCTTTAGGTCACAGAAAAGACAAACCATAAGGAATAATGCAAGGCAAGCTTGGGCCTGTGGAATTTTGTCTTTATATTTCCTGAAGGGATTGAAACTGGAGAATCTGCTTTTCAATAGGGAATTTGGTTACACCAGAATGATGGCTGTCTAAAAATTCTTGTTGGTTTTTAATTTAAGCCAAATAATACATTCAATCCTCAGCTGCGTAAGTTATGGGGTCAAAGTGAATATAAATAAATTAGTTTCTAAGTCTATTGAATCCAATCCTTCATCCCTCCTTAAGATAAGTAAATGTTTATTGAATGTCCACATTTCATAGAACCGTTTTCACTGGGAATTACAAAAAAAATACTGAAAAGACATTCAGGATGGAATAGAAAACATTATCTGTGTATATAAGACTTGGATTTAATATGAATAATTGGCACAAGCAAATTGGTGCATAAATAGAAGAAAAAGTTAATAAAGAGAAAACAACCATGAGTTGTATGGAAATCAGCTCGTTAAGGTTACAAACATAAATTTGATTATCCTCATATGAAGAAATCTAATTTCTGCCACAATCAATATTAAAACTACTCTGTAAACTCTATCCACAAATCCCATGATAAAACTTAAAAGACAGGGAGCCTGGGTGGCTCAGTGGGTTAAAGCCTCTGCCCTGGGCTCAAGTCATGATCCTGGGGTCCTGGGATCCAGCCCTGCATCAGGCTCTCTGCTCGGTGGGGAGCCTGTTTCCCCCTCTCTCTCTCTCTGCCTGCCTCTCTGCCTACTTGTGATCTCTGTCTGTCAAATAAATAAATAAAATCTAAAAAAAAAAAACACCAAAACTTAAAGACATTTCTGCAGCCATCCTATGATATTGTACACAATATTCCATTTAATCTCATAACCAGTTGGGGAGGTAAGTACTACCAGTTTTCACAGTTGTGCAGATGGAGAACCTAAGGAACAAACAAATTTTTCCCCGTATATAATGTGTATAGTAAGAGACAGGTTAAAGAGTTTAGGAATTCAGCTTTTAGCCACTGAGCTGCACCGCTTCCTACAAAAACAAGCGTGTGTGTGCAGTCAAGGGAATATAAAAAAAAAAAATCTTTTTCCACATGAACCTCACTAAGGTGCTTCCTGATCAAGCTCTGAAACACTGCATTACACACTCTTATTTGAGAAAAACAGACACATGACACCAGGTTATGTGTCAGAGGTAAGACGAGAGAAAATAATCTCATGTGCATGAATGTGAATATGACATACAAATTGATCCTATAAAATAGCTTTTCCCATTTTTGTTTAAGATACTGAAACACTGATGTAGTACCATTTGTGACTCTCCTTTGTACCTGTTCAGGCTTTCTCATCTTTCTTGGCTCCTTGTTTTTATTACTATTCCATTTTTGGTCCTCAAATGTGATTAAATGGCCTAAACTAGATAGTACCCTTGAGAACCACATAGTAGGGCCTCAACTATTTCAACTCCTCAAAGAAGCAGCAAAGGAAAAGTTTAAAAAGAGTAACCCTATCCTTAAGCTTCTTGTGAAATCTCTTGGAAATGCAAAAGCCACACATTATAATCACTATTAATAGAAATAGAAAAATCTAATATTTTGTTTGCTAATAACTTTTGGTAGATGAATAATACAGATACACTTCAGGAAATAAAGCTCCTTGTTAATAATGCACTTCCTAGCTTCCTTTTCTTTTTTCTCTCTCTTTTTTTAACCTCTCCAATTAAAATTAGAGTTGATGCAGGGATTAGAACCAAGAGCTACAGGAAAGAAATAATTGCAGGAGATCCATGGCGCTGTGAGACAGGTAGGGATATACCTAATTTCTAATTCTATACTAAACTTCTGAAGGGCACCCATTACAAATCATTTTCCATAATCGTCTTCCATACTCTACCCACCCCTCCCCCTTATGTTGTTACTGATCTGGTACTTCTTGGCTATGGATTCTCTAATACCTACGAGAGAGAAAAGTCTTTTGATCTAACGGTGTAGCCTGGAAAGCGCACAGACCACGCATGAAGCGCAAAAGCAATTTGCTCCCATTCCCCTTACCCTCCCCCACCCGTCTTTTTTTTTTCTTTTTCATGAGGAAGTATTTACTATAAAATATTCTAATTTATCTCAGCAGCTCTTCGCCTGTCACATCTCTCTTTATTTTTTTTTCCCCATCCAGTAAACTTTTTGTCTCTTTCCCTTGGCCACACGGCTGCCAAGGGAATCCAACTCGTTCGCCTCAGCTCTGCCCTTGTCCGTAGTCCGCACGAATAAAAATACATTAGATCTCGGCAAAGGTCCAGAATTTAGACTTAAGCCTATTTCATCCTGCCTCCACCAAGAAGCACCCATATAGGGGAAAGAAAGAAAGAAAGAGAGAGAGAAAGAAAAGAAAGAGAAAGAAAGGAAGGAAGGAAGGAAGGAAGGAAGAAAGAAAGAAAGAAAAAAGAAAAAAAGAAAGAAACCAAAACCCTGAAGCTCGCCTTTCTCGACGCCAGCCCGAGGACTTGGGTTCCCAGCAAAGGGAACAGCAAAGGGAGGTACAGCCCCAGTCGGAAACTCCCAGCCTCGCTGAAGGGGCGAAACGGGGTTTTCCAGAGACCTGTCCCCTTAGGGTTTAAGAGCGAGTCCCGTGGGAGCTTCGCTTTCACTTCTCTAGAGAGTAGGGAACTACACGAGCTCAGGTAACTCGCCCCTTCCCCCGGGCGCCTGTGAGTGACTGGGCGCCGCCAGGAGCGCCGGGAGGGCGGGCAGGCGCGGGGTTGCCAGAGGGGAGCGCTGGCTCGGCAAGACTGACGGCGAGCCATTGGCTACCTCGGAGACCCGGCTGCGGGCTGCAGCGGCTGAGCGGCGCGGAGGCTGCAGCGCCGGGCTCGGGACCGCAAGCCGGCGTCGGGGGCGGCTTCTCTCAGCGGTCGAGGCTCAGCAGTCCCGACGGCAAGTGGCTGTGGGCCAGGGTACCGAAGCGCGGCTGACGGCCGCCTCTGGGAGAGCCAGTGCTCTCGGCAGGTCCAAAGTGCAAGGCTGGGCTGTTCCCGGACGCGCCTGGGCGCGGGGCCCGGCGACGCGTCCTGGAGTCTCCCCGCGCGCCGGGCGCGCGGAATGGTGCGCCTGGGAGAGGAGCGCTTACCATGGAACATGGTCTGCGGGAGGCGGGCGTGGTCATGATGACCGCAACTGCAGCAGGAGCAAGCTCTCACCGCCCATAGTCGCTGCCAGGAGCCTGGTCTTCCGCGGAGTTGCCGGGAGTCGGTGCGCGTTAGGGCGGCCTCTGCCGCTGGTTCCTCTCACCCACGCCGCGCCTGCTGCTTCATCCATCCCAAGGGGGGCGGCACACACCACGGCCGGGCTCTGCGCTTTGCCTTTCCCATAACTTCCGTAGGATCAGCCGGCAGTGTACTTTCAGTTTCTACTTTGAGCTGGGTCTGCAGGTTTGATCTTTGGGTTCACCACCGGGGTGCCTTCACCGCCCCACCTCTTTTGAGCACCTGCGTCCTCCCCTAGCTCTTCTTGTGCACCTGAACCGGCACCAGAGGAGGGCGCGAATCTCCAAAGCCCCACAGGAGGAACCAGCGGGCCTTCTGAATGAGAACAATTCGAGGCAAAAGACTTTCCAAATGACCTCTAACCGTCTTGGCAAAGCTAGGCGACTGGGATCTAAAAGCATTGGTTGCTATATCCACGGAAGCCACAAACGTGTAGTGCGAAAGGCTGGGCAATTACAAGCCTACGCCACCAAGGAGGCGTCGTAGCTCTTGCACGGATGTCGTGGACGATGCCAAGTCGTCTTGAAAAAAAAAAAAAAAGAAAGAAAGAAAGAAAAAAGAAAAAGGAAGTAAAGAAAGATTAAAAGGGTTACGCCCTCAGCCCCTCAAACCTCTGTAATCAGTCTCTTTTTGCCCTGTTTTGCAGATGCACCTGCCCCGGTGAGACCTCAAAGAAAAATAATCCTGTGGGCGCATCTAATCTGGTAAGTGGTATATTTGGACCAGAAACAAAGCCCAGAGTAGGTGGAGGAAATGGAGACTGACTGTAATAGTTAATAACTAGGACTCCTACCCAGGCATTTATCAGAATTGACCATTTTTACTGTGTTTTACTGAGGAGTTAACTTTTTTCTAAACCTGAATTATTTTAGTATTTCCTGCTTGAATTTGTTTTCTGATATTCTGCAGGAGCCCTGCTTAAAAGGTGAGTGAAGTAATAACAGTGATGATGATAATTGCTATCCTTTATCTAGCATTTGCTCGGTACTATAGTGTGCTAAGCATTTTATACATATATACTCTCAAGCATAATTTTCTATGAGTAGAAAATTTTCTTATCTGCACTTCACGGATGTGGGAACTGAGACTTCCTTAAGTAACTTGCCAGAGTCCACTTAGCTAGTTAATAATAGAGCTTGTACACAAACCTGGTGTATTCTGGCTCTAGAGTTCATGTTTGCAGCCTCTGTGTTAGCCATCCTTGGGAACAATGTGAAAATTAATGCCAGAGGGAGACAGGATCAGATATCCCATGAGTGTGTCTTTGCTCCACTGTTGGGGACCTCAGGAAAGCTTTCTAGAGTTTCTGAGTTCTAAATTGAGACTCAAGCAGGCACTAATCTAGGGTGGTGAACATTCCAGATTCAGTTATAGTGTGAACAAAGAAAATAGGAAAAGAAACAAGGGAGAAAGAAGAGAATTACAGTGAAAGAGTGAGATGGAAGTACTCAAGCCTCAGGCTTGGATCTCCCATTTCTCTTTTCATCTCACTGCTCACATCCAGTCCATAGGTAAGTCTTGTCAACTCTACCTCTAAAATACACTCTCTTCGTAACAGCAGGATATTTGATTTACACAACGCCACCTTCTGTGACCACACTCTGGCCACTTGCCACTGTGTACCAAGCTTTCGAGGTCATCCGGTGTGATCTGGGTGCTACTGCCTTCTCTGACCCCCTGTGGTACACAACTCACTCTGCTCCTGCCGTTTACTTCCCTGTGCCCAGCCAAGCCTCTGTCCACTTAGAATAGTATCCAGCACACAGGTATTCAGAAAGTATTGCTGAATGACAGAACGAGAGAGAACAACTGTATGAGAATGCATGGTTGAGAGCATACATGAACAGAAAATATGTAAAGGCAGAAGGGAAATAGAAGAAAGAGCTGGAGAAGGAGGGAAGCAATTGGGAACAGGAGATAGACTGGGATGGAGAAAAACAAGTATTTTCATTTGACTGGAGCCTAGAGTGGGAGGTGGGGAGTGGAAAAACAGGAGGATGGAGTGACTTTTAAAAATGAATTCTATAACTAAACACACCCAGATTAGTTACCTATTAGTCTAAAATCCCTGACAGCAGCATTGAGTTATGTAATTGCACAAAGCCTTCATCTTTTCTTATTTTTTAAAAATACATTTCAGGGACAGATAAAAGAGCATCCATCAATAACTTCCTCAAGAGGAAATCCATCTTCCTTTTTCATGAAGTCACCATAAAACCTGGCAGAATAAAGCTTGTGCATAAGTAAACTTTTGGGAATCATGAGAGGAAATTATTCAGAGCTCTAGAAGGGGATGTGTAAATTCCAACCTAAACTCCGACCCCAAATGTGAAGAATCAACTAAAAAAAGTTCATAAAACATTTAGAATTTTTATTGGTATATGAAAAAGGATATGTTCTAACTCTATCAAATTATTCTTTTTCTATGTATGAGAGAATTAATAGCATTTTGAAAGAATTCCAAAATAAAGTCTTAAATTAGTGGTTCATACTTTGATAAGCTGAACATTATTTTGTATAAGACAGATGAACAAGGATTAAACATTCTATAAATTTTTATGTATTAATATTTAATGATTAGAGAAATGGAGTGGTTATAACGTTCACTCATAGATTCAATGAATTATGCAGAAAACTCAACACAGAAACAAAATAGTGCATAGCTTGTGAATTACAACTAATATATATTAGAAGGGAAAACATTTATATAATGTAATAGAAAACATTGAAGTAAAATGATATAAATACTTAAAGGGCAAATTGTTAAAGATTAATCAATGTCATTTTAACTGTTCTACAATCTTCTGTCAAATTAGTCAATCAGGGGTAAGCCTGAAAATATTTTCTTGACTAATTATCTGAACTATTTTTGCCCAGTGTAATATGACTATTGTTAATAGTCTGAGATCTGAATGCTAGCTAACTTTCTGTCTACGGATATTTTCTGAGGTTCCTATGGCTTGATTTTCCAGGTCTAATACTTAACATGTTTCAAATACACAGATACACACACAGACATATCACATAAAGCCTCCCCATGTTCTGTGTAGTTGCACAGGGGCTGGTGCGTGGAAGGGCTCCTTGCTTGGTTTAATATTCTGCTATCACTGTCTTGGAATTCTTAATTATTTTTGGACAAGGGTACTTTCGTTTTCACTTTGTACAGGGCCCTGCAAATTCTCTAACTGACCATGCACACACATACAGGCATATCTTCAAGGTGGTTTCGGTCTGGTGGGGAAAACATATATTAAATATGTGACTTCAAGGATAAAGAATATTATGAAAAGGATAGGATAAGATATATTTCAAACAAGGGTTTAAGGCAATCTAGACCCATTTTAAAAATTAGTAAAACTAGGATCCCAAAAGGGTTTACCTGTCTAATGGAAAAACAGCTATAAGTGGATAATCTATAATTCTAAATCATACCTGTTTGATTTTCAAGCCCAAGATTGAGGATGGGTTTTGAATTTTATCAAATGACTTACTGAGGATCTATTTACAAGGTCATGTTTTTTTTCTTATTGTATTTTTAAAGAAACTATAAATTTACCATAATGCTAAATTCCAGTGGCTAATATTTAACAGACTTTTGCACTTTTATTTATAATTGGTATAGGTCTGTTCTTCATATTATATTTAACTAGGCTTGGGCTATTTTGTCAGATTTTCTTAGTTTCATAAAGGGATTTGGAATTCTATTGTTTTCTAAAACTGTGTTTAATCATTATCTGAACTACTTGTTTCTGGGTGATTGACTGGAGTTTACCAATAACACATACTTGATTTCATGAGATGCAGCCTAGGGATAGGATGAGATTGTCCGTTTAAAGCATTAGAAGAGTAAAAAAAAAAGTTTCTTATAAGGCTGAATCAGAATATTAGGAGCCCTGCCAAAAATGTGTATGTCCACATATCAGTGACTGCTGGGGCCATGAAAAGGAATGATATAATCCAACTTAGAAGAGATGAGAGAAAGAGACATGAACATTAGGGGACCATGAGACACAAACATTAGGGGTAGCTGGGGAAATGGGTGCCCACCAACAAACTGACCAAATAGTGGACAGCAGGGTAAGAGAGAGAGAAGTCGGTATTCCAGGATAGAATGTCAAAATAGGCTAACTAGTCAGAATTTCCAAATGTCACAAAAAGATCAAACAAAAGGAAAATTGAAAGGTGTATCCACTGATCTGGCAGAGTAGAGATTGTGGTCAACATGACAACAATTTAGAAGAGCAGTATAGATAGAGGCAATATTCCAGTTTGTGGGATGCAAGGAAGGATACAAAGAGAAGAGACAACTTTTAAAGATCTGTGGTAAAGATAAAGAAATAGAGTAATGGTTTGAAAGGCATGTAAAGCATGATGGAAGTTTTCATTTTCATGCATGAGAGGTACTAGAGCATATTTATATATTAGTTGGTAAAATTAGGTTCTTTGGAAGAAGTAGGAAAGGATAGAACCAAGAAACTCAAGGTAACCGATTTATTTTTTTTTCCTATCCTCCCTTCATTTCTCTCTCCTCTTTCATTTCAGTCCATAAATTGTGTAATTCTAAACAGTCAGAATCCATTAGGAATCTTGTGCCTAATTTTGTTTCTTATCAAAATGTCCCCTCTGACCTCACTTGTGTGCGCTGGGTTGAGTATTGGTTAGTGTAAGAGAGAAATATTTCCCAAATTGTCTTTTGGAAGGAGGAGCAGTGTCTTATATAGCTTGTATCGTCCAATCCTTTTTACGTAGTAATGGATATGTTGTTGGCACTTAGAGATTTCTTTTATATACTAAATTTTGGAGGGACTGTGCTTTTAACCATTGCCTTCATAGATGATTACTTAAAGAAGATTACACTATGACAATGTTTTATGGAAATTATTTGAAGAAAATGGAAAAATATTTTCCTTTATTTCTTTAAAATCCCTGACAGAGTCCCTTTAGAGCATCCAGTTACTATGTGAAGCTGTTTAGTTGTTCTTATGAGCTCTTTGAACAACAGCGACAGTGTCTTACTCAACCTGGAATTCTCTGAAGTCAACAGAATTCCTATCAAGTTACAAATTCTTCCCAAGTATGACTTGTAGAAAAGGGCGATATCAAACTGCACAGGTCTTGACTTGCTGTTCTTACAGAGAATCAGTGCTCTGGGCAAACCTGTATTAATATCCATGAATGTTACAGTAAAAACTATTGACTGATATTGCTATGTCTAAAGTTCTGGTAGGCTTGTTAAAATTCTTATTTACTATGAATTCAGACTGTTTTAAAGATTTATTTATTTATTTATTTATTTAGAGAGAAAGAGAGCACACTTGGGCAGGGCGAGGGGCAGAGGGAGAAGGAGGGAGAGAATCTCAAGCTGACTCCACGCTGAGCACAGAGCCCACATGGGGCTCAGTCTCACGATGCCAAGATCAGGACCTGAGCCAAAACCAAGAGTCAGTTGCTTAACCAATTGAGCCAGGCAGGGCCCCTAAATTTAGACTTCTTTTTCTAAAATGGAGGGCTGT